GGGATTTGTTAATCTGAACTTTGGAAAATATGGCGTGGCTATCAGTGTGTGTGTGTGTGTGTGTGTGTGTGAATTAAGCACAGCAGTGGCAAGCGTCTTTAGTATCAAATGTAGCCATCAAATATATCTGCTCACCAGTCACCACTGAAATTAGTGCTAAGTAGATAACTTAGGATGCTTGACAGTAATTAACAATGATAATTAGTGCTGGCAGGCATGGTTGATATGGACAACCTGACGGCCTGTTAACAGGTAAACCAATACAAAAGGAGCAACTCAAGATGCTGAACTTGGTTCACTGTTCAAGGACAGTTACCACTAACTAAAAAATACTAGTGTGCATATTTTATTAAAAAGTTTTGCCCACTAAACGGCGTGCTTTATGAAAAATACTGAGAGTATTTGACTCCAGTGGGTAAAGGAGATCGACAGCGTCTCTTTCGCGGCGATATCTGCGCCTTTCCTCGATGCAGCATCCGATTCGGACCCATGCCCCCATGATAGCCATCAGACACGTTTCGTCTTGCCAGTGGAAGCAGCATTAAATCGATTAAATAGATAAATGAAACAATTCCCCTTCATCAGCAGCTCAAGATGGGAATGATTTGGGGATACAGAGAATGCTGCTTTAGTTAAGGCCGGTCCGGATTCAGCAAATCTACAAGTTTAAAATCTCAGCTGCGTCCTAAGAAGAACACATGACGGGAATGGATTTGGCTAGCTGGTCGGCTGGCTTACCTCGTCGTAAGCAAGATAAAAGCAAGCAGCATCAGAAGTAACAGGAGCAGTGGTAAACACAGGTAGTAGCGGCATCAGAAGTGAAGAGCTCCGTACGTACGCCTTGAAAAAACAGAGGATGCCCTCAAGGTACATCTGGTAAACTCAGAGTAGCAGCAGCAAACACAGGCAGTAGTGCGTCTTGTAAACGTAGAGGAAGCACCTTCGCTCGAGTTGTAGAGCATCGTTGCAGCACCGTCAAGTAGTCACAGCTGATCTCGTGGAAGCCTAGATACTGGAGGGACGGGAGGAACTCAATGCCAGCTGGGACCTCCGTCATGTTGCTGTAAAACTCTTCCAGGCTTGCCATGGCACCTTTGCCGTATCACTAGCCGATTCAGATTAGGCAGGTCTCCCAGAGAGAGAATCATATATTAAATTGGGAAACCAACCCGGGAGAAATGCCATCTGCTCTCCGTTGTATGCTCTAATGAATTGCACACTCGTCAAATTTGACAAGCAAGAAAGGGATGGCAGGGGGCCTTCTCTCAGCTGTGACCAATATAGAGACAATTCATACAAGTTCTGCTCCCCAACAGCTTGGTAGAGAGGAGACTCATCTAACGCCGCTAGTCGCCCTCTCAAAACTAGGCACGTTCGGTTAATTTAGTTAATTTAGAGAGACTGAAATTCAGTGTTGATACAAGATAAACACAATGTTCGCTAACTTCAGAATTTTGACCGGACAGCCAGCTCTCATGCTGACTCGAGATATGGTTGCTGGCAACTTGAGAGGAATAACAGGGAACGGTCTCAAGATTCTCCTCTAGAAATATTCTGAATGTCATGAATGCATCCCCAAATTAATTGATTGATTAATTAAGAGGTGTCTCTCCGGTGTAGAGAAGATCGAGGGCGCCAATTTACAGCTGGACATGGGCCGCCGCAGTCAAGAGTGACGCCAATTAGACGAACTCCAGCTGCTCGGCAGCAGCCTGAGGCGAGCAACGACAGTAATCCCTCGGCAGATGGTGCCACACTAATTTTGGCAATGACAGCGTCCAACCCTGCCATATGTACTGCAACAGCTCAACATCAGCCGTCAGGGTGTGACTGCTTCAGGGCTCGTTTATGCAACCAGTAATAAGAAACTCTTTCCAGACTGTCGGCCATAATTAAGTCAGAGAACTACTTTAGAAGCCGAAAACTTGAGTGACCAACCGAAAACTTGAAACCGAAAAATGGTGAACGCTCTCAGGCACATCAAAGAAAACAAAAGACAGGTCTACAGGGGCCTACACGTGTTGAATTATCCTTTGTCAAAGGTCTGTTGTTGACAAGGAGCAACAGAAAAAACATGTATTCAGGAGTGACCTGTAAAATGTGTGGCCAATGAACAGGGATCAATAATTAAATATGTCAAAAGGTAGCTAGCCATGTAAATAAGCCTTTCTTGGGAGTCAAGTAAACCTCTTTATATAAAGAGAGAGATGTATCAATCTAATCAAGTAAGAATTAAGAAGGAAATCCCTTCCCTCTTGCCCGGCCGTGGGCAAAAAGGCCCCCGACCAGCCCTCTCGCACCCTCCTTCTAGCAGCGCCATAACAGATAGTTTGTTTTTGTTTTTCCTAGACCACAGTCCAAATGCTCCAAATTTATTTATTACAAACCACAATGCTTAAACTGCTGGAAGCTCCATCTTTTACAACACAAGTGTTAGAAGTATAAACGTGATTAGCATAGAGATTAGGAGATAGAGATAGACTTAGTTTAAACACACAATATCTTGCCTTGTACTCGAATCATCTTCTTACGTTGTACTCCTATATATACCCCATATGAGGGTCACATCAATACAACAGATACAACACAATATTCTAGCCATCCTACAATTTCCACATGGTATTAGAGCGGTTAGTCTCACGACGCCGATCCTAGGTTCCTTCACCACTTCCGCAGCGCCGCCCCCGGGGAGATTAATCTTCTCTCCCCGGGGGCGCGGCACCCGATCGATCAAAAGATCAGATCGGTTTCATAGTTTAGATCAATTTCTTAGATTAGATCAGTTCCAATTTTCGAAATCCCTTAGACCAATTTTTCTTAGCCACCAAATAAATACATTGACCCTCCAACCAGCGCGAAATCTTCATAGATGGATGCCCATCAGACAGATCTCCTTGCCAAATTGCAGTCACGGCAGGCTTCGAGCCGGCGTCCACCGGCGAATGCCTCGCGCTCATCCGGACGGCGGCAATACCGGCTACTCGCCCGGTCCGCACGGGCACCCAGCCACCAATGCGCACGCATGGAAGCGGCTATCTGCTCTGGTGGTGAGTACGATCTAATCGAACCGGCTTCTCCAACAGCACGACATCAACTTCAGGCCAGGGACTCCGTTCCGGCGCGCAGGAGTGCATCAAGCGGCCGCCACCAACAGCAGCGCTCTCTCGATATGCACGTGCCCATGGTACGGCGCACAACTCCTGGAGGCCAGCACCGGCAATCGAGCTCCACCAGCACGCATCAGCACCGGACTCCAGCGAGAGGTTACGTTGCACGAGGCGCCATGTCTCTGATCACGGGAGGGTACCTCACCGGCATCATCAGCGACCGGAGCATCGAGCGACCTACACCGAGCCTTCTGAACCAGACACGAGCCATCCGAGCGAACTACATTGAGCGCCCGAGTCTTCATCGAGCCGGCCCCGCAACCTTCGTCGAGCACGCCGTGGGCTACAATGCCCACACACATGGCGTAGCCTCCCAGGACGTGGGACGTGAAGAAACCAACATGCCAGGTACGTGCATGCATCGAGCTTACACGTACGCGTCTACACACGCACCGGCGGCTTCAATGGCGATCGATCAGATCTCCCGTCGTCAGCTGTGACTTGAGTCGCTACATCGACTTCTTCAGTTTTCGCGACTGCGCCAACAAGCCGAACTACACCAAGCCGAACACATCTGCACCGAGCCGGCCTGCTGCAATTGCATTGACATCTACACCACCGATCGACACCTCTGCATCGACCCTGTGCCACTTCATCGACCTGTACGACTAGCCCGTCCGCGAGCCAACATACTTCATCGACCACACCTACGAGAAGCGACCTCAATATGCACTGTTCACACGCCAGGCCGGTGTGAAACGAGATGCAATTCTTCATCGTCTTCTTCAGCACGACACGACATCAACACCCCGTCGCCACGAGCGACGCCTCCAAATGATGCATCATTGTCAACATGTCGCTGCACCGCTGACACTTCATCGCCAAGGTCTTCATCAACGTGGTCTTCATCACCATCATCATCAACACACTGCCGCCGCCTCGTCCACAAGATGGACACCTAGCGTCCTCTGACAGACTTGTCTGCAAGACGCGACCTCGACGACGGCAATGACCGCGTCACGACGACGGCATCGACCGCGTCATCCACAACTACAGGACTGCATCGACATGGCGTCACTACAATGACGACCCTACACGGCCACACGGTTCTGGCAAAACCGATGTGTGCTCGATGGGCTTCCTCCGGTCTTGGCAAAATCGGTGGACTCATCGCCGACGGCACCCTCTGACATCAGCAAGGTGCATCGTCCACGTCTGCAGCTCCGTCATTGCGCATTTTTTTTGCGCCTCCGACTTTGTGCGGCTTCATCATCCACGACGACCACACCATCAACCACGACTACCTCGACCACGGCTACATCACCATGATCGGCTACCTTGACATTAATGGCTACGTCTACAGCAACTCATCGGCAACAACTCCAGTCAACAGCGTCCGCCTCGTCACTTGCGTCCACGACACTCCCGCTGTGACTGCGGGAGGGAATAGAGGAGAAGGCAGGAAGGCACCAGAAAGGGACGCAGTCACTGCCCTAACTGCCGACCCATCAGAGACGCAGTGGATGATGGCGCAGCGGAGAAGACGACAAAAGAGGAAGACTTCAAATTCAGTCGTAATCGTCCGCTTCACTCCCGCTACGACTGAGGGGGAATGTTAGAAGTATAAACGTGATTAGCATAGAGATTAGGAGATAGAGATAGACTTAGTTTAAACACACAATATCTTGCCTTGTACTCGAATCATCTTCTTACGTTGTACTCCTATATATACCCCATATGAGGGTCACATCAATACAACAGATACAACACAATATTCTAGCCATCCTATAATTTCCACAACAAGAACCAACCACACAAGAACCAGTGGACAACACAAACAGTAAGGGTAACAAACAACAAACTTACAGCAAGCAAGCAAGCAGAGCGACGAGGTCAGTCGTACTTCACTCCAACTGTGAAATGATTGGGGTGCCTCCCGCTCTCCGCCTTTAGCAGCTCCAGAGTCTGGTCCAGCGCAGGGTTCCCTCTCTTACCTGCGAGCTGCACCTCTTTAAGGCTCGTCAAGTGCTCAATGCCCACAATGCTCTTCTCACTCCAGTTGTCGAAATTCAGTGAAAGTTTCTCGAGCTTTGTCATGGATCCTTCCTCGAATTTGTAGACTCTGGGCATTTCCTGATCACAGGTCCCTCTGAGATTCTTGAGCGCCGGAAAGTTGTGCGCAGCACGTGCAACCAACTCTCGGCCAGTGTAGCAGTTCCGCTGCATCCAGATGCTCTTCAGGTTGGGCAGCTTACACAGAACCCCAAACAGTTGGTCATCGATAAAGTGTGCCCATGACATGTGAAACTCAACAAGATATGTGAGCGATTCGACCCAGTTGGGCAATTTGTCAATGCCACCAGCGATCCTGAGGAATCGGAGGAGGCGTGGCGGCGAGGGGAGCTCAAGGAGAAAGTTCAACGCATTGGCCTCATAACTCATGGTGCCCATGTCGAGCGACCGGAGAGAGTGCGTCTTGCTCAGGGACAGGGCAAGTTCTTCAAGAACCTTGGGACCATTGGGCCGCTCACAATCGACGTAGATACTTAACCTTTGCAAATTTTCTAGTTCACCTACCTCTTGGGCAACCTCAACAGCATCATCTTCTAGCAACACCCAGCCCACCTCCCGCAGCGCCTTCATTTTCCAAAGACCCTGAGGTGGCTTCCACATGGTAGACCAAACATCCTTCTGGGAGAAGAACAAGCGCTCAAGTTTCTCTAGTTTTATCAGGGTTTCTGGAAGTCTAGCAAGGCCGGTGGCACGTACATCAAGTGTCTGCAAATGCTCCAGATCACAGACTTTTGTAGGCAGCACACTGATATCTGTACCTCTCAGGGACAAATACCTTAGAAGGTACATCCGACAGATGTGGCTCATATGCTTGTTTTCTACACCCTTGCAGTCTTCCAGGTCTAGTACTCTCAGCAGAGTGAACTCACCCAGACGATCAAGCAGCTTGTTCCCTTCGAGCTGAAACATACTCAGTGATCGGACATGCTGCACATTAATGTCTTTTAAGTCATTCTTCTTAACCATTTTCTTGGATGTAGATTCCTTGGTTTTCTTGGATGGAGAGTCCTTGTTGGATGGAGATTCCTTGGGCCTCTGCCCACCAGCATGGACGGAGAGGCGGCGTATTGTGTCATAGGACATCCCATCATACTGCCCACCTATCAGGCTGACAAAGTTGGCCTCCAAGGATTTGGACACCATGACCTCCAGCATCAAGTCATGCACCCGGCATGTCTCCACAGCTCCATAGACATGGCTGATTATTTCGCCAGCGGGATTAATCATGCCCCTGCTCACCAGCTCTTCATAATAGGCTTCTGCAACCTCCAACAGGGTCATCCCCCGCTTCTCCTCAACCAATCCTTCGGCGATCCATCTGTATACTAGCCGATCCTTGTTGATGAGAAAATCCTCCGGGAAAATACTAAGATACATCATGCAACCCTTGAGGTGATAGGGCAGGTGGTCGTAGCTGAGTGTGAGTATCTGCCTCATCCCGTCAAGGGTGGGATTGGTATCCATATGATAACTAATTGATTTGCAAACTCTGTCCCACATATCCTTGTGCTCCGCTGATTTATAGCTGGCCAAAAGGCTGCCGATGCTGACAATGGCCAATGGCAGCCCACCACATTTCTTGAGAATTTTGTTCATTTCATCTTCCAGCTCTGTGGGGCAACTGGCATCCTTGGAGCCAAATGCTCTGCTGAGGAACAACTTCTTGGAGTCTTCTGAATTGAGGGGCTCGATGTGATAGATGTTGTCTCCACAAATTTCACTAGCATCACTGCATGCTACGGCCACGGCCTCTATCCGAGTGGTCACCATGATTCTGCTGTCGAGGTTGTTGTCTGGCAGCGTGGATCGGATAGCATCCCACGCTGCTATTGTCCATACATCATCAATCACAATGAGGTACCTGATTTCGACATAAGTATGCCAGTGTTAGAGAAGTTTTACGAGCAAAAAAGAAAGGAAATTACCTTAAAACGTCTGACATTTTAGAGAATATACAGTAGTTATACTTACTTTGAACTTTGTTGACTAGTATTTCCACAAGCAAATCTAGATTAACAAGGTGAAAATACTTGTGCAATACACTGTTTTGCAATTTCGTGATAAAGACAAGTTCCAACACAAGTTCTACATTGATACTAGTACGAATAAAGTGCAACTAAGACCACTCTTCCCAGCTCGGAAGTTTCATATATAGCATTTCAATCTAATTAAATCTTACAGTGGTAGTTGGGACCAGAAATGGATCAAGCATGGCTGGCGTTGCAGAGCACACACACAGAGAGAATGTTTTCCCATCCCCAACCGCTTTCGATTCAATCGATTAATTTGGTTTGTCCAGCATATCAACTCTTGCAGAGCAGAGATTCACTACTCCACTTGCCTCAGATGAAAGCGCAGATCAAAACGGATCGAAGCAAATCCATCCCTGTCTTGCGGTTCGAGTTCTAGCGCAGTAGCAAACACCACCAGATCAAAATCGATCCAGAAACATACGTACCTGGCAGAGGAACAGGGGGCTCGCGGCGGCAGCAATCAGGTTGTGTTGGGAGCTGTGCCGCCGCGCCGCTCCAGCCGCCGGCACTAGATGAAGTATCCCATCCCATCCAAAGAGGAAAGTGCTTTTGGTCGGGGAATAATCACAGAGAGGTATTAAGGGGAATCTTGATCCCAATCTCTGGTTTTCGGGTGTCTAAGAGCATCTCTAGCACACTATAGACACCGTATCTGTGGCCTGACTCGTAAAAAATTTACCGTGGCCTGAAAAAAGTCCCTCACCACCGCTATATATACGGTTTCACCTTCCGGATACGGGTCAAACCCTATCCGCCTCTGCCGCCGCTCCGTCATGATTCCCCTTCTCCTCCGCTCCAATTTCTCGCCCCAGCGAGCTTAAAAAAGGCCTAACGATCCATGGATGGCTACGAAAGCGGGGGATGACGAGGAGCGTCGCCGCCCCCTAGATCCGACGCTGCACGGAAGCGGGGGGCGCGGAGATGGCTCAACCACGGGAGCCTGCCACTGCCTGCGTTCGAACACCGTAAGCTCGCGGTCCGACGCCATGCCTCATCCGGCTCCTCTGCCATGGGGAGCTCGTCCGCGGGCGCCTCGAGCTCGTGGCTCACTGCGGTCAAGAGAGAGCTGGAGGAGCTCGGGCCGCTCGCCGTCAAGCTCGAGGCCGACGCGCTGTCGTGTCGAGGAGTAATCGGCCCCGAGGACTACCTCCTCTGGGGGCAGGAGGAGCACCTAGAGCGCATGAATTCACCCCGCAAATCGGATCTACAGCGAACTGTAAACCAGTTTTGCGGGTCGGTGTTATACGGGCTCTGCTAGAGATGCTCCAAGAGCACCTATACTGGATCCCGTAAAACGGGTCATCTGACAAAATACGAGAACATTTTTTTTCATCCCAAATAGATTTCACAATTCATCCCGTAAAAGAAATTGCGGGAACTTGCATATTCTGGTGAAGTAAATCTTTAGTGAAGTATTTTTACTCCATTAAATTTTGATGGACCTTAGCCAATATAACGGAGTAAACTTACTCTTAGCTCATACGCTTTGTTGAACACTTCTATGCGTCTCCACGGCTAGTGATTAGCATTTTTTTCAAACATACTTTTTATGTGTCCATCATTTGTACCCCCATTCGTCTCAAAATAAATGACAGAGGGAGTATATTTTTTATACATTAGGAACCTTTTTATGCATGTTAATATTTCCCAAATACATTATTAATATTTTTAAACTTATATTTTATGTCTACTTTTCTTGGAAGCACTGTACCTTTTCGTTATACATCATGACACGTTTAACATTTTCCAAATATGTGGTTAACATTTTTCAAAACTTGCACTTCTTTATGTCTACCTTTTCCATACATATTCTTTATTTTTTGTATACATCGAGAACATTTTATATACACATTTAATTTTTTTGAAATAATGGTTAACATGTTTTAAGACATGTATTTTGATCTGTAGTTTTTTTCATACACTTGGTACATTTTTTGTATACATCAAGAACATGATTTTATACACATTTATCATTTTTAAATACATGATTATCTTTTTTAATTCGCTACGTAAAGTGACTTTATAATATATATCACTTAGAATATTTTGAAATCTAAGTAAAAGTAAAAAAATTGAAAATAAAACGAAAGAAGAAAGAAGCGCTAAACCCTGTGACCTTGCTGGCCCGGCCCATTCTGGGAGGCTGCTTATAGGCAAGGCTATTCTAGGTTCGCAAAAGCTATTTCTCGCTTTAAGCAAGGGAAATGTTTGGGTACGGCCCGCCGGCTGAGCGTTCGGCCGGTCGCGTACCACGTTGGATTTGACTTAGGTTGTGCGTCTCCCAGCACCCTACGCCAGACACATGTCCAGTGGACCACACGCGTCATCCTATCTGTTACGATCTGAAGAATTCGCCTTGTTCCTTCGGCACTTATCGCTCTTATCATCTCCTCACACCCCAACTTCCCTCGTGATAGATCAGTCTGGGCGCCGTTGGCACCGCACGCTGCTGCAAATTCCCCTCTCTCACCTCCATTCCTTTATCCCTGCCTCCCAGGAGCAACCGAGCGCCGGTGTCAGAGCGGGGACCGGCGCCGCCTGGTGCTGGGACAAATGCTACGTGGTGCCGGGACGGCAGCTACAATACTCAAGACGATGGCGAGAAGTGCTGTAACCAGTAGCCACCGGTGCTGGAGTCGGTGGCGATAAGTGTCAGAGAACTACGGCGACCGACGTTCAGGGCGAAAAGTGTTGGAGATCCGGCGAGTTTTTTGCAGCAAGCAGCCCTGATTTTTGCTACCATCATCTTCACTTTTTGCTGGAACCAGTCATTTTTTTGCTACCATGTTGTGTGTTTTGTTGGAACCAATGTACCAATCTGCTACCACCATCTTCAATTTTTGCTGGAACTATCGCAAAATTTGCTACCATCAATTTTTATTTGGTGTAACCAGTGTACCCATTAGTGCTCGAACCAATCAAAGAAATTGCTACATGTCTTTGTTTGGTGGAAACAGTCTACCACTTTTTGGCTATGACCGTTTTGAGTTTTGCTACTATCCGCGTTGTCAATTGTTGCATTCATTTTTCATGACACGCCGACACCCGTGACGATGTATTTTTGCTGCAACCGTTGTAGTTTTTCGCTACTATGGTGTTTACAATTGATACATCTGCGGAAGGCCATGGAAATGTTGCTACAATGGCGACCACATGCGGCACCGGCAAGCTTTATTTTTCTGGAACCGATCCTTTTTTTGCTACAATCGGCTGATTTTTTTCTGCTACCGGCAACCTGAGGGAGAGTACAGTTTCTTCTACGATCTTGTCGGAGGAGGTGCTGCGACCTGCAACCGATGCACGCCGAAGCTGCGCCCGCCGCCACCAGAGTTGCGACCGTCATAACGGGGAGCTGCAACTACGGGGACACGCTATTGCATGCACGGAGCCGCCCGAGAAACACAGGAAATGACGGTGGTGAGGGACGGTGACCGCGAGACACGAGCGCCTGCTGCAGCCCACGACAGCGGCGTTGCGTTTCCATGAGGAAGGGGGAACCGAGATCAAAAGAGGAGCGACGATGCACTTTTCTTTTCTCTTACGAGACCCAGATCAAACAGATCAAATTTGCTGAATCAAATGCTTAATCATTTAACTGTTCGGCCGACGCGCCGGGGCCTATCAGCGCCCTTTAAGCAAGATGACAACTTTTGCTCTTGCTAAAGCATTAATTGTAATTGGGCCGGCCCACTATATATTGCATATATCAACAAAAGAGGAATAAAAAGGGCGCTGTCAGGGATCGATCCCTGCACCGATGGTTCAAATGTACAATGCGGTTTTCACAGATTTTTATTTTTTTTCTTTTTTTTCTTTGGCTTTTCATTATTCTCTGATTTCTTTCTTTCATTTTGTTTCTTTTTTATTTTCCTTTATTCTCATTCTTTTTTGCATTTTGTTTTTTATTTTCATTCTAGATTCTAATATAGATGATCAAGATTTTTTCAAATACTTGTTCAACATTTTTATGTACATGATCAATATTTTTTCAAATACTTGTTCAACATTTTTAAAATACTTATTCAACATTTGCATATACATGATCAACATTTTTTCAAATACTTGTTCAACACTTTTTAAATACTAGTACAACATTTTTAAATACTTGTTCAACGTCTTTTATATACACAATCGACATTTTTTTCAAATAATTTTTCAACATTTTTTAAATACTCATTCAGCATTTTTTAATACTTGTCCAGCATTTTTAAATACTCGTTCAACAATTGTTAATACTTATTCTACATTTTTCAAATACTTGTTCAACATTTTTAAATACTCGCTCAACAATTGTTAATACTTATTCAACATTTGTCAAATACTTGTTCGACATTTTCCATACTTATTCACAAATTTCAAATACTTGTTCAACATTTTTAAATACTTGTTCAACATATTTAGTGCTTATTCAACTTTTTTCAAATACATATTCAACATTTTCAAATACTTGTTTAACATTTGTCAAACACTCATTCAGTGTTTTCAAATACTTTTCAACATTTTTCAAATACTCATTCAATATTTTCAAATACTTGTTCAACATTTTTTAAATACTTGTTCAACATTTTTCAAATACTAATTCAACTTTTTCCAAATACTTGTTCAACATTTTAAAAATATTTTTCTAGAGTGTTTTTCAATATATATTAGAATCTTTTAAAGTGTAGAAAAAGATAAAGCAACAAACATAAACATAAAACATAAAAACCCGGAAAGCAGGGTATGGTTTTTCGGGCAAGTGGGCCGGCCCACCTCCCCTTCAGTGAGTCTGGAAGTTAGACTTGCTCAAAGTGACAAATAGGGGGCCACTACGTCTCGCTAGAAGCCAGACATAGTGTGCTCCTCACACCTCGTATTTCACTTTCTTTAGTGGCTCGGCCCATGTAATATCTCCTTACATGAAGCTCCA